TGTGAGCAACAGAATGTCCCATTCAAGATTTTGTTGCTGCTGGACAACGCACCAGGACACTCGCCCCTACTGTTAGATCGTCACCCTAACGTAAAAGTGGTCTTCCTTCCTCTCAACACTACGTCATTACAGCCCATGGACCAAGAGTTAATCTGTAATGTAAAAGCTGCATTCTCTACTAAAAAATTCAAGCTCCTGAACGACTACAACACCAGGGAAGAGTTGCGTAACCTGAGTGACACCAACACCAATAGCAAGAGCAAGAGCGAAGACGACGAGGATCAACAGTTGGCAGAGCAACAAGTACTTTTAAAACAATTCAGGAGAATATTCAACATCAAGGCATTCCGGCCGTTAGGCAGAGTCAATCTGTGACTGGTGAGGTTCAGACTGTTGCAGTAGCAGTGGACCTTGCCAGAGAAGCTGCGCAGTGTTACAGCTGTAGGCTTCTCCGAGACCACCAACGACGACATCCTGGAGGTGATAAGGGATCCTGATGTGACTACCGACGAGATGGTAGATGATGATGACGTCAGTGAAGAGGCAGGTGGTGCATCATCCCAAGAAGAACGCTGCTTATCCCATAGTAACGTTAGGGGTGCCATCGAGTGTATCGAGAAAGCCAAGCTCCTCCTTTCCGACGACCCTGACGCAAACAGGTATGAAATCTTCACTACCCAGCTGTTGCAGACTATGGAGCCCTACATCAAGGTTTATCACGACAACATAAACACCAGCTGTCAGCAAAGCATAAGAGTTCTTCGCCCGCAACCCACCACAGCCAGCCCAAACCAGTGATAGTGACCGAGGTAGAGACAGTGATGATGACTTTGAGGGATTTGTCAGGGAGGCCCTGACAAGTGTGGATGACAGTGATGGTGACTCACCTGAGGGCCAGTAGCCTGCCCTCTGCCTCGGAACCAGCCTCCATTCCCGTAAGCCGACCCACCTCTTCTACTAACGTAAGTGTTAACCCCAACCTTGTTTTTTTCTAACCTAACCTTCAGTTTATTGACTGTTCCCTTCTATATTATGTGTGGGTGAATACCATCATAAAGTTAAGATGTTATTTTTAGTAAAACGTACGTATTGTGTCGGGAAAAAGTGGAGTTTGGGGGTCAGCCCGGTCTCTATGTCAATTAATCCCATGTGTTATGTTGTTCACTTTACGTGTTTCTCACTTTACGCGGGCCGCCGTGGGTTGAATTAACCGCGTAAAGTGAGGGTTCACTGTATATTCCCTAAATAATGTTTCTGAATGCACCTTATGCAATATAAATGAATAATAATATGGTCACACAAGAGATGGGAAATCCCTTGTTTTCGTTTGTGTTTACAGCCGAGAGTCCGGGACGATAGTTCTACACGAGAAAATTAAGAAAATAAGACCCTGGTTGTAGCTGTAGTAAAATTAATGTAAAAAAAATTAATATATGTTTTAATTAACGTTATTTAATGTTAATAAATGGAACAATAAAAGTAGCTAACCACTAATGGCAAAGAAAAAAAAAAGAGATGGATAGGGAACGCCAACATTTACCGGTACGTACGTGCGCATTTAAGGATACAGCGTCAGTTATCTTTTTAAGAATATGTACAAAAGATTCATTATTGTTTTAAATGAATATGTATTTGATTGAATTAATCTTTATATATGCGAAATGAACAATACAGTTCATTAATAATACGTAGAATATTAAAACACACAAGGGGATAAGAGACGGCATTGTTGTCAGTGTTTACACCCATAATGTCAGTTATCCACACGAAACTGAAGAAAATAAGACCCTGGTTGTTGTTGTCGTAAAATTAATGGAAAAAATATGTATGTTTTAATTAATGTTATTTAATGTACAGTGAACCCTCACTTTACGCGGTTAATTCAACCCACGGCGGCCCGCGTAAAGTGAACAACATAACATATGGGATTAATTGAAATAGAGACCGGGCCGATCCCCAAACTCCACATTTTCAGACACAATACCTACGTTATAGTAAAAATAACTTCTTAATTTTATGTTGGTATGCACTCACAATTAATAATTAAGAGAAATATCAATAATATTAGGTTTTTTAACACTTACATTAGTAGAAAAGATGGCTGGGCACACGGGGATGGGGGGTTGGTTCCGAGGCAGAGGGCAGATTATTGGCCCTCACCTGTATCACTTGTATCAATTGTATCACTATCCACCACAGAGGCTTGCAGGGCCTCTTTGTCAAACCCCTCAAAGTCCATATAAGTCCATATCCTCACTATAATTATCACTATCACTGACTTGGGCCGGCTGTGGTGGGTGGCGGGTGAAGAACTCGGTAATGTTTTGATGACTGGGCAACCTTGTGCGCACCCTGCTCGCGCCGCTTACACAACATGGCGGATGGCGGGAGGTTTGGATCCAAAAATGGCGGGGCTCACCAGCCGCTCTCCACTTAATGGGGTACACACACACCGCGGAATGTGAGCATTCCGGTTTCGGCAGGGTACCGCGTAAACGTGGAAACGCGGAATGTGGGACCTCATAAAGCGAGGGTTGACTGTACAGTAGAAGTAACCACTGATATTAAAGAAAAAGTGACTGATAGTGGAACGCTAATGCATACAGTACGTGCGCAGTCAAGGAAAGTCATTTATCTTAAGAATATGTACAAAAGATTCATTATTGTTTACTACTGAATATGTATTTGATTGAATTAATCTTTATAAATGCGAAATGAACAATACAATTCATTAATAATACGTAGAATATTAAAACACACAAGAGTGACGATGGTTCTACATAAGAAACTGAAGAAAATAAGACCCTGGTTGTAGCTGTAGTGAACTTAGTAAAAAAAAATTGAATACCTGTATGAATGTTTTAAGTAATGTTATTTAATGTTAATAAATGGAACAGTAGAAGTTGCTAACCACTAATGGTAAAGAAATAAAGCGAGATGACTGGGAACACCAACGTATGAACAGTAAGTGCGTATATGTGAAAACATATCGTTACTTCTCTACATATGAATATGAAAGCAACACTTATTTACGGTTCATATACAGTATGCTTTAAATAATATTTACGAATGTAAAACAAAAATTCTACTCACCAATGGTGGTAAAGTCTAAAACATAAGGACAGTCAATGAATATTGTGTGAGTTTTTACTCAGATGACGAAGTCATCAGGTTCAATTCTGACTGAAGCTGTATGTTCAACTCTGACTGAAGCTGTATGTTCAACTCTGACTGAAGCTATAGCTTTCCATAAAGCTGTTGCTGAAACTGTTACTGAAGTTGATGTTGAAGCTACTTATGATGCTGAATTTGATGGTGTAGCTGAAGTTGATGGTTTAGGCCTTCGAATAATAAAGCTGTCGAAAGAACCTTGCACAGCTGCTTTCTTTTCTCATTATAAATATTTATGTAGAGGTCATTTGCATTTATTTAAATTTTAATGCTTTGGTCTGTTAATGGATCCACTTCAGAAAATATGTTCATTGCTTGCTCCACATAATATCCACAGACCACTCACCTTTTTCATATCGTTTTAACACATCTAGTTTATCGACTAAGCTTATACACTTTCTATTAGCTTTTGAACCAACACTACCATCACTTGCTCTCTTGCTCATGTTGAATAGGGATGCAAAAATGCTGTAAGAAACTTGAGAAAGTTTTTCTCCCTGTTCCAGATGTGTGAAAACACAAGGCCCGCCAAGCTCCGACTGTTGTTTACCACTCATTAGCCAGGCAGTTTCTTTGCGCAAGGCACTCTTCATTTTTTTTTACAGTAATTTGTTTTTTTTAATAATACATATCAGGATTTTGTTATTATTTATATGAAAATGTAATTTTATTTTATTTTTATTATATTTTGGTAGTAAATACAAATGAAATAAGGACATAAACTGAATTGGGTCCTAAATTAACTAGGGTTTTAAATATGAAAAGTTGTTGGTCGAACCGTTGTTATCGGAGGCTTTACTGTATAACTGGGCATTATACATTGGATTTACAAGAACACTAATAGCTGGCAAGGGAGGATCATAACTCCCTAAGGTAAGCAACGATTACTTGTCTACACATGAAAAGTGAAATACTTTTAACACTTTTGTTTTCAGTACAATTCACACCCATATTAATCAAGAGTGGCTTTCAAGTTCTGGAAATATAATAAAAGTATAGTAAAGCACATTAAAAATATCTTAAGCAGGAAATTCAAGAACCTGGAGTTCCAGGGGCTTATGAATGAAACTCATGAAAATGACATGTGGAAATTTTATAGAGAAACCCAAGCATCCAGCTAAATGCTCAGCAAACACATCCCAGCACGTAAATTCCCAATGACCCAATAATATTTTAAATTTTAACACAGACTGCCACAAGAGTCATATTCAGAGACAACCCACTTAATCCTTTATACAGAAGTCACCACCACAACATATGTCAAGAGGTACCCTGACTGGGAATACAGCATTTTTCCTGCTGTATCCTCTCTTGGAGAGATGATAAAAATCTAATTCTATACTGGTTCTATTACCATATGACAAAAAAAATAAATAAATAAATAATAATAATAAAGAACTCGACTAAGACTGTATGTTGAACTTCTACGACTTTAGAGTACCTTCCAGTAGTAAAGAAGGAATGCTGGAATATTAAAGGGAAATAAAAACAATAGTTAAAGAATGGAAAAAGTAAGTGGAAGAAAGATGGGAAGAGAGGTTGTAACTGAACAAACTGTTCTGTAAGTCCCCAGAATTCTTTTTAAATCTGACCAATATCATGGGCAATTTGAGGCCATTTTGAAACCATGTGCACTTGATATTAGTAGATATTCTGAGGTAAATAGTAATTACTTTTCACTGTACAAAAATGCCCAAGTACAATACTGCATTAAAAAAAAAGTTATTGGAATCTGCCCCTGGAATATAAACAGAGTGAAATACAGTATTCATACATTGTTCGTGACGTGAAGGAATGAAAAAGTCATTTAATGCTTATTGAACGCATACCTTATACACAGAGGTGGCATAACCAAATATTGAGGATTTGTTTACACCATGTTGAGGTTCCAATGGCACCAGCTCATGGTACATATCAATCTCCTGTGGCAAATCTGAAAATATTGAAAAGAGAATTTAGTAATTTCATAGATCATGCAGTGTTTAAAGTGATATACACTATTTTTATGGCACAACTGGCTTATTCAGCATTACTCTAGTAGGAGAGGAAAATGGAAATGAGGTAAAATACAAGAGTGAATTTTAGAAACATTTGATAATTTTAAGGTGTAAACACCACATTAGAAAAGATATTGAAATGACATTCAATATTGGTCTCATTCTCAAACACCCTAAAATAATATTTCATTCTGTGATCAACAGTAACGTTTCCATTGTGGGCAATCTAATGATGGTTTTATGTCATTCCTCACACTTAATCCTTTTATCAATAGACTGCAATGGCAAAATTCATGCAGGCATCTGACAGAGTTTGGCATAATTAATTTTTTTTCCTCCAAGTTCCTTGATTTGATTTGATTTTTCATTTTGTAATTTGATTGCAGATAGCATGTTTGGTTAGGGTAGGTGGTTGCAGTAAAAAGGTGTCATTTACGTACATACTGTAACTTGGTTAATATAGTAAGGCAGTCACTAGGGTAAAGTGGTCAATCTAGTAAGGTGGCTGGTATAATAAGATGGCTACTGAAGATGTAACTTGTCTATAATGGTTGAAGGAAAGGCACAGGCTGCACCACAGTCTCAGTGGGTGCACTTTCACTTCTTTATGATAGGTGGATATACTGTACAGGGATATTGTCAAGTAGACAAAATTAGATGGATGTGAAACATTTTGGACACAAGAGGAATGAGTTAATTAGTCAAAAGAAATTATGTACTGTATTTGAGTATAAAATGTGGAAAAAATTCAATGCAGAGAATAAGAAAAACATTAATGAGTAAAGTGAAAGTTAAATAATTGGTAATGGGGTACAGTATAATTTATAGGTGAATAGATGGAGGTACAGGGGAAGACCAAGAAGACAGAAGGATGGAATAAACAATGCACTAAAAGTGTAAGAACAGACAGCCAGGATAAAAGATTGTGCAAGAATGAGCAGAGAGCTCTGTGGGGAAGGACAAGCTGCTGAAAAGTAATGCTGGCTTGCATAAAGTAATAGGAAATTCAGAACTGGAGCCTTGATGGAAAAGAGCAGTACCATAGTAAAACACATCATTACAGTAGTAAAAACAAATGAACGACAACAGGTAAAGAAAAAACTAAAACATATGCACGTACTGTATAGTATTTGTCAATTTGTGGCCAACCTGTATTGTGTGGGAAAGTGTTTGTAAGAAAAGCAATGTAGGTTCCTGAGTATAAAATAATATTCCAACTTACCAGGGAACTGTTCTGGGTCAACATGTGCCAAAGCCAATGCATGCCTTTCTAATATTTCATGCCGCAAATCATCACCCATGAAGAAGTGTGGAGTATTGTTGGGTGCCCTTAAGTGGTGGACATGGGCAGGTGTGGGCGGCAAAATATGATAAGGTGGGAACACCAAAGTTGGCTGGGGACCAGTTGTGAATGGAGCAGGAGATGCTGTGGCACCAGTGGCTCCAAAAGATGGCTGGTCTTGGGCAGTGAAAAAATAAGTTGTTCCTCCTACATTTTCCTGGTAGGTGGACAAATTGGAAGCATTGCTGTTCTCCTCTCCGCCACCACTTTGCGGGGAAATTCGTCCTCTACTAGGGGAGTCCTGAGGTGATATCGGTCGCTGCGGGGACGCTACTGTTGCTGCCGGCGAGGACCGTGTCATGGGAGTAAAACCCAAGGAGGATGGAGTGGAGAGGCTGGGTGAGCCAAGGCCTGAGAAGGAGTGGAAGGATGGGGTGGAAGATGAATGGGCAAGACCCCCACTTCCACCTGACCCTGGGACAAACTCTGCTATGCTGCTCACTGATGGCTGAAAACAAGGGTATTATTATATAAGATTTCTCAATACCACTTACAAGTACTACAAAAATTCTAATAACAATTATATACTCATTTGTCTGGCTACATCTTCAGGACATTCCATAAAAGTCATCCAATGATACAAATGATATCCCCGTTAGCCGGAACAATTGGTGCAGAGCACTTCCATGGATGAGAGATTTCTAGCTAACCAGACGACTTTCTCAAGCCCGGAAAAATTCCTTATCCCCGGAATCTTTTCCAGTTACTGGGAAAAGTTTTCTGGTGTCTAAACTAAACATCTTGCACAGACACTAGCACACTTCCCCAGAACGTTTCTGGGTGCTGGGGATGTTATGTCTAAACTACCGGAGCCCGTAAATGCAGTTCTATTCAAGTCAGAAACTCCATTTCTTTCCAGAATAATCCAGAATAATTTATCTAAAAGTTTGGTTAAATATATTTAAAAATTAAAAATCTATATAAAATGGGCATGAATAAAGCTGTGTATTACAGCAAAGACTGGTGTTTTCCACTCCCATGGAGATGTAGGGGATTAGTGGGTCTCATGTACTGTAAGTGACCTGTCCGGATGCAATGGCAGGTGGAGGTAGGGTGGGGGATTAGTGGTCTCCTATTACTGACATTCTGATGAAATGGCAGGTCACCCTTTCTTGGGTGGGGGATTAATGGGGGCTCATGACCTGAAGATGTCTTGAGTAAACATGAAACCTAAAGTATTTTTAGGGACACTGATAAGTATAAGTATAAATGAGCAAAGTTTTATTCCTTCAACATAACATTACATAATATTTTAAAAAATGGAGTGAGAAAGCAGAAAGGTGTGGGTGATTAGAGAGATGGAGTGGAAAGGAGTGGCAACATGCACCAGTGTTGCCAAGCGCTCAACAGCTGATATTTAACTAGCTATCACGCAGTCACACACAGTACATTTGTCATACAATAAGACCCTCAGAGGGTGTGTGTGTGTGGGTAGTATTGGAGGGTGCATGTGGGTAGTATTGAAGGGTGTATGTGGGTGGTATTGAAGGGTGTGTGTGGGTGGTTGTTGGTGTGTATGTGTGTTGTAGCACAGTATGGGTGATGTAGAGTGAGAGTGGGGGGTCAGACCTTTTTGGGAGGTGAGGGGGAAGGATAATGCGGTCAGTTTTCTCCCCCTCCCCATCCTCAAGAATGGCTAATTGTGATAGGGAGATGAATTTGATACCATAATGATCCTTAATAAATTTTCTATGAGTCATTTCCACTTAGATATCCTTAAACGAAATATTTCAATATGAAATAATGATGGGAATTTCATTCTTTTACATAAAAAAAGTTTATAACGAAGTCAATAAAATTGGTTCTAATTCTGTTACAAACCATTCTTTTTTCAAAATAATCAGGAATAAATTATCTAAAAGTTTGGTTAAATAAATATATTAAGATAAAAAGAAGAAAAAAGATTATCTGATACATGCCTGAATAGAGCTGAGTTGCAGCAAAGACAGTGTGGTATTATTTTTCCAAGAGTAAACGATGCAGCTCGTAGGAGCTGTAGTTATTTATGAAAACACCGCTGTACACATACAATATTGTTCATACTGTAAACATAATAATGTATACAGTAGAACGTCGATTTAAAGCGATTGAATTTAAGATTATTGATTTAAACCGACACCCACAATTAAGGACAATGTTTTAATTTAAAGCAAATCTTTCCTATTTTGCGCGAGTCAATCCAGAGCAGCAGACAAGGTATTTTAAAATTCGCGCCTAATGTTTCTCTGGGCACGCTACACTGTCCTAAGGGCAAAGCTGTACTGTAGATGTACTCAAAATAATGTACTAAATGATACCTAAAATTTTTGTCTAGTGCAAACTATAGTATGATTACTGTATATTAAAATTAATCACTATCTTATACGAATTCCAGCAATGTAAATTATATTCTCCCCGGTCACTTCTGTGACATTTTATAAACAAAAACTCAATCTAAAGGACATAAATAAACAAATAAATACCTCACTAGACCTTCGGCACCAATTGTCAAACATGTCACCTCCCCTTCATTCCTCCCTCCTTCCCAGCCAGGGTTTGGTGGTTTTAGGCTTACAGTTTTTATCTTACATAATATCACAGACTAAAGTTAGGAGAATAAAATTTGCATTGCTAGAATCCTTGCAAGACAGCGAATAATTTGAATATAAACATCATATATTTTTCACAAGAGATTTAAATTTTAGTCATTTGTAATAAAATTAATTACATGTCAGTTCAGTAACAATTTATATGATAAAAACTTAAGGACAGATAAATAAATAAGCACTAGACCTTGACATCAACTGTCAAACATATCACCTCACCTCCCCCCCCCCTCCCCATCAGCTGATCACTAGTAAACAGACCCTTTCAAGTCCCATAATTTTAGCTGTGTTGATTTATGAGTGTTTGTTTTAACATAGTACTACAAAAAACAATGTTTTGTTTATTCTAGGAGATGGGCTGATGTGCATCTGGGTAGACTCTCAGTCTTTTTAGTATTTTGTGTTTCTCTCAAGTACCAAACTAAATTATTCCATTGAAACAACACTTCGATTTAGTGCGACCTCTCTTGGAAAGTATCTCGTGTTATATCGACATTCTACTGTACTAATAAACATTAGTACTCACCAGCAGATCCTGTCATCTTTAGCCTAGAGTAGGCAGGCACTTCACTCAGCTGACTGTAACACATAACTGTAATCACATCTTAACACTTGTGATGGAGGTTGGGTGGGAGATTAGTGGGTCATATTACTAGCCTGACCTGATGCAATGTCAGGTCACCCATTGTTGGGTGGGGGGGGATTAGTGGATCTTATGACCTGAAGATGTCTTGAATGACATTATTATTTACCTATGAGGTACTTACATAATACTGTACTGTATTGTATATTAAGTGTACAGGTATTAATAAGCACAGATTATTACAGTAACGTATCTTTGCTAATTAATGAAAAACAATTAAATAATACATATTGTATCACGAATGAGGCAGTACAGTAGTTGGTGACAAACAATCAGTGAGGTGACCCTTTGCAGGCAGGGGAGTTCACATCCCATTGAACCCTTCCCCTCTTCCTTCCTCACAGCATTCATTATAAACTTCTATTTGTGTTAAGAGAAATGAATTTGAAACCATAATGTTCCTGAATAAATTCTCTGAGTTGTTTCCAATTTGATATCCTTAAATGACAAGCCAAATAAGAAGGTAAAAATAAATATTTTACTGTAGAGTACAGTATATGAAGGGTACTGGTATTAATAAGCTCAAATTATTAGTTTCTGTCTCTTAAGTACAGAACTAAACAAAGAATTTATTTGAAATACTCTATCATTCGATACCACAATATCCTGACCACTGGGGCTAGTCATAGACTTTTCCCTGTGAAAAAGCCAAAATTTTGAGCAACATATTACTGTACTCATTTTGTACTCAATGTACTATGCTAAAGGATGAAAATTTGTATCTCGTGCAAATTAAAAGATATATATACTCAAATTAATCGCTACCTTGCAAGGATTCCAGTAATGTAAGTTATATTCTGCTAAGTCAAGTCTGTAACATTTTATAAGAGAAAACTTTAAGCTTAGAACAACCTGCAATCCATTAATTGTTATCACCGCCATCTACCTCCCCTTCTAGCTAGGAGAAGAGAAAGGGGGGTTGAGAGCCTGGAGGGGAGATAAATGCATACTCAAGGCTTATACAGTATATAAAAGGTAAGGAGTTAAAGTTTTTTGCTTATAAAATGTCACTGACTTGACTCAGCAGAATTTAAATTGCACTGCTGAAATTCTTGCAGGATAGCAATTAATTTAAGTATAAACATTCCATAACTTGCACTAGACATACAAATTTTAGCAATTAACTTTGTACATTTGAGTACAGGCTGTGATAATTTATGTAGTTGCAGTTGCAAAGCTTCGTGACATCACTAGTGTATAATGCGTCTCCATATGCTCCATATGCAAAAGTAGCCAAATTGCGCCACCATATATCAATTAATTGTATAATAGAAATTATAAATGCTAAATGCTATAAGACGATGGTTTACTAGTGCTGTTAATGTGTGTGGTGTGTAAGTGTCTTGGCATGTCACCTCACCACCTGACTCCGTCACCTCACCCTTTGCCTCGTTAGCTCAGCTCGTATTATATTGATTTATTACTGCATTATTTTACCGTTTTAGTATTATATATACATTTAAAAATACTTATATTTGAACAGTAATTATAAATAGAACAGGAGCAGAAAAATCCAGCGTTACCTAAGCAGTTGGTCTTCCCACCCATGCACCAACCATGTGAGAATGCGGCTAAACATGATGCAATCTTTCATAACACTGGGAACCTTTGTCCCCAGGTCCTGAGCAGAAAGATTTAGTGATTTTATCACAATTTTCTCAGATTTTCCAGTACTTGTGCATCATTTCATAATCGATATTTGCTCCCAGACCCAGAAATAAAAATTTGGAGACCCCCCCCCCCCCTTTTTGTTAGATTTTCAGAAAATGCTTCCAATTTTCAACCTCAGAATTTGTTCCCAAACTCAGAATTTAGGGAACTTTTCAGAAAATTTTAGCAAATTTCAATTCCGGCTATTGAAGAGTTCCAGGTTTGAGGGATTCCAGCTAACGGAGATATTACTGCACAAAAGATTTTCTACCCACCACACTAACTTTCCTTGTACCAACACCATCAAGGCTCAAGGCAGCTACACTATTGGTGAGAGATTGTTGTTGTTGTTGCTGCTGCTGCTCCTGCTGTGGTGTTGATGTTGCCAGCTGTTGACGATTCTGCAAAAAAGAATTAGATAAGTACTATTAAATGATGTGACCATTTCTATGTTTATTTCTAAAATACAGCCATCTCTCGATTTACACGGTAGTTACGTTCTTGAGAACGGTCATGTAAATCAAATTTAATTATCCCATAAGAAATAAAGAAAATGGCCTGGGTCAAGGGAAACACTCCTTAAAAACTGTAAATTGTTTATCTATTTCCTTCAATATGTTTTCTTTACAATAACATAATAATAATACAACAATAATAAAAATAATATAAAATAATGGAAGCAAACTTAGTGGTGGTGAAGGAGAGGAGGGGGGAGTCATCTGAATCAGATGACAAAGCAGGTGATAGGGGAGAAGTGGGAGCTTGCCAGATGTCGATGGCTGAGGTTCAAGTGATGTTACTTTTTCTTTTTTGTTAGGTAGGAAAGCAATGAGGTACTGAACTACGCTGCCTGGTGCAATGGTGCTCTTTCAAAATGGTGCTATTTAAAAAAACTTTGAGTTATTTTAAAATATGTATTAAATTATTACTAGTGTTATTTCAAAATCAGGCAAATTAAACCCATGTAAATCAAGAGGTGACTGTATTTAGCAACTTTCACTCATGAGATTGAGTGAATGATTCTGGAACTCCCATCTCATGATTAAGTAGGTAACAGGGAGATTCGTGTATCATAACCCAGGTTAACCCTTGATGTTGATGGCTGATGCCAATCAATATGCCTTTCCCATTACAACCATCAACCTTACAATAGGGAAATTAAAGGAGAAAACTACTGCCTTGGGACGAGAGTTGAACGAATTGTGTCAGACAGTAGCCTGTGGTAACTTCACATTCCTTTGTTCATTTAAGATTTTAGTAACTATGCTACAATAACCCTTTAATGCAGAAAATAGTATTACAGTATTACCTTTCTATTATAAATTTCTATAATTCAAAATTCGCTATACAGTACAGTAAAGCCCAAATAACGACAGTAATGTGTCCTCTAATATTGCAGTGTAAGGTGAATCATCATATCGCGAATCATTAATTACCATTAAAATAAAACAATAATAATGAGATGCGTTCCCAAGTGTGACCTTTTCATATCTTTTGTGTGGCTTTTTACCCTCTTTTCCCCCAAAACAATACAAATTGCAAACTATATTCTTTAAATAATGTTTCTGAATGCACCTTATACAATATAAATGAATAATAATATGGTCACACAAGAGGAGATGGGAAACCCTTGTTTTCGTTTGTGCTTACAGCCGGGAGTCCGAGACGATAGTTCTACCGTACACGAGAAAATGAAAAAAATAAGACCCTGGTTGTAGCTGTACGTAGTAAAATTAAGGTAAAAAAAAATGAATACATATGTTTTAAGTAATGTTATTTACTGTTAATAAATGGAACAATATACAGTAGAAGTCCAAAAATCCGGACTGCTTGGGGATTGGGTCGGTCCGGATTTTCCGGATTCTCAGGCAGTACTTTTAAATTCAAATTTAAGGAGGAATAAAGAAGAGATGAACAGGTACATTTTGATAGTTTATTCATTAGCAAATATAGCATGCTTCATTTATCAAAACAAGCAGTTTTAAAGAAAAAGCTGTGAATTCTAGAATTTTATTCTTTGCCTTTTTTATATCATAAATTGTAGACTTTCCAATGTCATATGTTTCCATTAGAACAGTATTGCTCACACCACATTCTAGTTTCTTAATTATTTCAAGTTTGTCACTCAATTTCAACATGTTCTTCTTTCTCTTCACACAACAAAGTTTATCTACTTTAGGAGCCATTATTATGGGCTTGTACAGTACTCTGTAAATGGAAAGAGTAGGACTCAAAATTACATATGTTGTCACAGTTTGATTGCTCGTTTTAAAGTGGCGACCACATGGTCGCTTGTTGTCACTGTGCAGCTGTGGCGCTCACGCATACGCACATACACACAAAAGCCCGCTAAAAAAAAAATAATAATAATTTGAGTTTTCGAAAAGTCCGGATTCTCGGGTGGTCCGGATTTCTGGCATTCGGATTTTTGGACTTTTACTGTACTGTATAAAGATTAATTCAATCAAATACATATTCAGTAATAAACAATAATGAATCTTTTGTACATATTCTTAAGATAAATGACGCAGTATCCTTAAATGCGCATGTATGTATAAGTTGGCGTTCCCAATCCATCTTTTCTTTTTTTCTTTGCCATTAGTGGTTAGCTACTTACAGTATATGCGAAATGAACAATACAATTCATTAATAATACGTAGAATATTAAAACACACAAGAGGAGACAAGACGGCATTGTTGTCAGTGTTTACACCCATAATGTCAGTTATCCACCTGAAACTGAAGAAAATAAGACCCTGGTTGTTGTTGTAGTAAAATTAATGTAAAAAATATGTATGTTTTAATTAATGTTATTTAATGTACAGTAGAGGTAACCACTGATGTTAAAGAAAAAGAAGCGGGACTGATAGTGGAACGCCAATGTATAAGTGCACACTCAAGAAAACATATTCATTTATCTAAAGAATATGTACAAAAGATTCATTATTGTTTATTACTGAATATGTATTTGATTGAATTAATGTTTATACAGTGGGGTATGCTATAACGAACGGATCCTACTACGAATATTCCTATAACGAACGGTTTTACCTATAAAATTGAGAATGCTATAACGAACGAAACTCCTACAACAAACGTTATTTAAAAAAAAAAAAATTTTTTTTTTTACTAATTTATTGTTTTTTTTATTACAAGTATTGATGATATTCTTTATTTCAGGGGTTTAGATGCATATTTATGCACTTTTTTACAATTTTTACAATTTTAAATTATATTTTTCAGTGTTAAGTGGTTGTATTTGGGGGCCTGGAACGGATTAATCCTATAACAAACGAATGCTATAACGAACAAGGTTCTAGAACCAATTAGATTCGTTAAAGCATACCCCACTGTATATGTGAAATGAACAATGCAATTCATTAATAACATTTGAATATTAAAGCACACACGAGGAGACAAGACGGCATTGTTTTCATGAGTGATGATGGTTCTACATAAGAAACTGAAGAAAATAAAACCCTGGTTGTAGCTGTAGTGAACACAATGTAAAAAAATTTAATACTGTACCTGTTTTTATGTTTTAAGTAATGTTATTTAATATTAATAAATGGAACACTAGAAGTAGCTAACCACTAATGGTAAAGAAATAAAGAGAGATGATTGGGAACGCCAACGTATGTACAGGAAGTGCGTACAGTGATCCCTCGGTTAACGAATTACCTCCCATAAGAATCTTCAACTCAATTAACGAACAAAAATTTGGTTTACGAAGTCCTTAAGAAATTGTGTCAACATGTTTTCGCCTGCTCACCAGCTGGAGTATTAGTCCGCCAATACAGTAATCGGTTTTAGGGCTTAAATTCGTTACCATGAGTAAATATCAAGAAGGTTGTATGTACTATTCAATAATTTTCCAAGTCTTATATTAAAATTTTTAGTCATTTTAACAATTATTTAACATTATTGAAGTACAGGGAAGTAGTTTTTAGCGCGCCAAACAGCCACTTGACTCACCCAGAATGGCGTCAGTTTGTGTGTCTGCTCAGTGGAGGTAGCATCTTGCTTGAGACTCTCTTGAACATAAACTATTTTTACATTTTTACAGTGTACAATTATTGGCCATTCTGAAATTTATTTTACATATTGACAATATATAGTGCAGTGCAGTGTTGATTTAAAGAAAATAATCTTGAATTACACCAAGTGAACTTAAAATTTTATGGGTGAAATGGTGGCATGAAGCATGGGGTGACTTCTCTTCCACCCCCACTGCCTTCTCTTCTCCCTTCTCCTCCACCCCCATTCTAATTCCCATCATCATCATCATCATCAACCAGGAGCCTTCTACATGCACACCTCAAAGTAGGTGTACTTTACTGCATTTATTATTAGTTTGTATGTAATTTTCGGTGAGCTAGAACGAATTACCCAAAATCTCACTGAAACAATGGTTTCGGTTTACGAAATTTTCAGTTAATAACAGATTTTTTGCAAACCATTTAAACCTTAATAGATAAAACTCAAAGTCTGTGTAGAAGGCCGGCATCCTCCAGGGAGAAGACGTTCCCTCACGCAGCACCCCCTCAGCACCAATGAGCGTCGGTAAGACCCGTTTCTCCCCCAGCACTCGGAGAGGTGCTTACAACGAAGATCTCTCAGACCGGGACACTCCACCAGGAGGTACCGAATAGTCAATTAAGAAACCATGAGTCAGCCGTGTGTGGCCAATGCAAAGACAGCCAAAGCGGTCTCCCAGCAGCGCGGCAATCCCTGATATCCCCAGGCACTCAATGTAGGGTGGATGTTGTGGAGCTTATTTGCTCCGACAGCATCCCACCTGTATTGCCAATTCAAGCAGATGGCCACTTATTACTGGCTTCATACCAGAGGCATGCAGAGGAGAATAATGTGCCACAGGGCAAAAAGCAGCTACTTTTGCCACAGCATCAGCACACTCATTGCCCTTCTTCCCTACATGGGCTGGAACCCAGCAAAAGCTGACTTTTCGGTCCCAACATTGGATGGGAAACAGCCAGTGTAAAATATCTTTTAGAAAGGGATGGGGCGATGAGACACCAAGGCCCGGAGAGCACTATGAGAATTGCTAAAAAATTTAAAATTGCTGAGGTTGGGTAAAATTTAACAAATAATCTCGAGAGCAAGTAAAATACCCCAAAGCTGTGCCGTAAAAATAATCTACCACTTCCAAGTAATGCAAACCAAACCACATGTAACAACTCTACGCAGCTTTCAAATTAAAATGACTCCCATGAGTTAATGACTTGTATATTGTTAATGAATTCAAATAACAAGTTCGATTGTCTTATACTTTTTTAAGAACCAATTTTCAGTTGTTCAACTCAGGGTCGAGCATGCCGGGGCTTAGCCCAGCATGTGGGATAAGGTGTTTTGTTAGGATATTAATTTATTATGTTGTTTTTACAATGAATTCTTATACTGTATTTGAATGCATTTTAAATTACATGATTTTTTTTCTTTAACATTTTAGCCAGCCTAATACTACAAAGTGTAAAATTTACCCATCTGCTCTTTACTTCCTATCACTTGATTTGGGTCCAAGTGGAACAGCTTTGTTTTGATTAAGTGCAAATAAGTTTTATTGTACTGTATAGAAAATGCTGGAAAACTATTTGTAATGGAAGGTATAGTGATATCTCATGAAAATTAAGCACCCAAAATACCCACCGGAACATTTGGCACCCTAGCTTAACCCACCTCAAGTTTATACAGTACTCTGATGGTACCCAGGGTGCTTATACAGGTTGTACCTCTCTAGTCCGGCATTTTGTGGTCCGGAAACTCCCGTGGTCTGGAACGATTTTAGTTTGTCCAATAGGTAGATAGGCAACTTTTTTTTTTTTTTACTCTGAATTATTATTACAGGAGTATTAAATTTTTGCCCCTCAGGCCCCAATGTGGATCAGTGACCTATGCCCGGGTGGGCTAATCCCCTTAAAAAAAAAAAAGCCGCGGGAAATTAAGGTTTGTTTACATACGGCAGTTCAGCTGCACTCTCTCTCTCTCTCTGCTTGTCTATACAGAGTACAACATTTAACCCTTCAATATATATGCGCAGTAAATAAGTGTTGCTTTCATATTCTTATGTAGAGTAATGACGATATACTTTCACATGTGTGCACTTACATACGAGCAGTCTCACTTTTTTTTTTACCATTAATGGTTAGCTACTTATATTGTTCCATTTATTAACATTAAATAACATTACAGGTACTTCAAGCAACCATATTCATTTTTTAACATTAATTTTACTACAGCTAAACTCAGGGTCTTATTTTCTTCAGTTTTATATGTAGAACCAATCAGTCACTGGTTTCGTAAGCTTTAACAAACAATGCCGGCAGCCGTCTCGTCTCCTCTAATATTCCACGTATTATTAATAAATTGTATTGTTAATTTTGCACACACGTACATTAATTCAATAAAAACAAATTCAGAAACATTAATTAAAATATATATAAACAGTAAATAAGTGTTGCTTTCATATTCTTATGTAAAGTAATGACGTTATGTTTTCACGTGTGCGCATGCGCACTTACATATGCGATCTCTCTTTTTTGTTTACCATTATCGTTAGCTACTTCTATTGTTCCATTTATTAACATTAATTAACATTACTTAAAACAACCATATTAATTTTACTACAGCTACAACCAAGGTCTTATTTTCTTCAGTTTTATATGTAGAACCAGTCAGTCGCTGGGTTTGAAATCAACGAAAACAATGCTGTGTCATTTCCTCGTGTGTTTCAATATTCTACGTATTATTAATGAATTTTATTGCTCATTTTGCACACAAACATTAATTCAATAAAAAAGACATTCAGTAATAAACAATAATGAATCTTTTGTACATAAGAGAAATGACGCTGTTTACATGATTATGCACGTCGTCTGCACATTGGCGGGCCGTTCAAACCCGTCGAAATTCAAGTTTCCGCCGTCAAAATTTTTATTTATCTATTTTTTTGTGTGTTCCAATAAAATACGTTAAGAATTAAAAACCTTCGAAATTTGAGAAGCTACTATACGACATTTAACCCTTCAATATGTCTTCAAAGAGACCATGACGCAGAGAAAGTGGTGCTAGTGCTTCCAGGCATAAGCACAAGTCACTATCTATCCAGGAAAAGGGTGAATTTCCATGGTCCGGCACCGGTCAGGTCCCGAGGTTGCCGGACTAGAGAGGTACAACCTGTATTCATTAGATACAGTAGCTATGTGTGATAAACGAAGATCATGAGGTAGTACAGTAATAGACACCTAGAGAAATTCCTGAATTAAAATGCATGACTCTCAACATAATAATTGTTGGCTCACTGACCTCCCCATATACTGGACTGTAGTGAGTACTGTACAGGGGGTCCCCGACTTATGAAAGTTCAACTTACAAACACCCGCCGATACGAACGGGGTTAAACTTGAAATTTACAGTACAGTTGGGTCTTCATTTACGCGGTCAATTGAACCCGCAGAGTACCGCGTAAAACGAGAAATGCATAAATGAAATAACAGAACATAAGGGATTAACTGAAATAGAGACTGGGCCAACCCCCAAACTCCACTTTTTCCGACACAATACCTACGTTGTAGTAAAAATAACATCTTAATTTTATGATGGTATGCACACACAATTAATATTTGAGAGAAATACAGTCGCCCGGTTAATGTCCATTCAAATAATGGACTCAACTCCCACCCCCCCCCCCACTGAGAAATGTTTGGGTGAAAACCGAAGGCTTACATTTTTAGTAATAAATAATACTTCAGACTAAAGTTAGGATAATATAATTGACATTGCTGGATTCCTTGCAAGACCAGGAATATTTTGAATATAAACGTCATATATTTTGTACAAAAGATAAAATTTTGGCTCTTTCTAATCAAAATTCTTACATTTGATCTAAAATTTGTATGTCTAATGCAAATTCCATGATGTTTATATTTAAAATAATCACAATCTTATAAGAATTCCAGCAATTTAAATTATATTCTGGCCGGGTAATTTGTATGAATTTTATGAGCTAAAACAAATGTCTTCAGTAAATAAACAAATTATATTTCACCCGCGTAAATGACCAAATTTACTGCGTAATTAAAGCATTTCATTCTGGCAAGGCACCGCGTAAATGACCAAACTCGTAAACAAAAACCGCGTAAATCCAGACTCAACTGTACTGTATTTTGTTTACCTGAGGACTTATATTTTGCTGTCATTTACAGTATTTTGTCATTCTATTTCTTCTTTTGTCTTTAATTAAGTGATTTTAGATGTATATAAGGACTTAGGCTATGATACAGTGGGATTTTAAACATTGTTCTGTAAGTACGGTATGCACATAGCATGTGTTCCAACTTACGTACAAACCCGACTTAAGAACGTCCTCAGGAACGGAACCCGTTCATAGCCCGGGGACCCCCTGTATAGCATGAAGCAATAAAGTACATTTTTTTTCTTTTTTTTTTTAACCAAGGTGTTTTGGAGTAATATTTATGGCTGAAAAAGCTATGAAGGAACTTTAGGGAAAATGAAAGCAAAAATTATAACCAAAGTTAAATATATCATTAAAGGAAGAGAAAATATTTACACTTATATATGTGGCTAGTTTTGACTCTTGTGGCAGGCCATTAACTTGATTCGTCACAGGTGGAGTAGATGCTGGAGCCACTGCTGCTGCCTGCTGTGACAGTCCAAGGTTAAGGAAGAGAGGGTCCATCCCGGTAGCTCTCTCTAGTAACCTGTATTAATGAAAAAAACTTCCTTTGTTTAAGGATCAATTCATGAAAATACCTTGCTAGGATGAATAATATTTTACCCATAAAAATATGATTCCCTTTAGGAAAGTTGTGTACAGTACTTAGTTTCCCTAAATGGTGACAGAAAAACTAACATTTTTCTTTGGGTTAAATTCATCAAATTTAAGAATAATATACAGTACTTTATTATCATACTGTAATTATATAAAATGGCAGTAATATTTTTAGTGGGGGACAGGTGTATGTCCATTTATTTAATAATGTTTTGCTTTTCTGTTGAAACTATCCTAAGTGATGACTTCAGTAGCAAGTTTTTGCTATTGCATTCAAATAATCTTTTTATGAACCATCAGGAACAAAAATATAAATGCGAAGCTAAAATTTAAAAGAAATGCAAAATAAAAATTTTCAGAAAATAAGCAAACATGATTATGTTCTATAGTTACCGTCAAGCACCAAATTATATCTTGCTGAGATAGCATCTACAACAACCACACTTAAGTAACTGAACCAATATACAGCACTGGTGAAAAGCTTGCCATAAATAATGAACAAAATGTTACATTGAAAACATTATGTACAAATGACATCAAAAAGCAGAGCTTGTAAAACACCAGTAGGATTCAACTATCAATAAGGGAGTTTATAAGAGAAAGTTATTGGAGAGAAAATAAAGCAGAAGCAGATGTGAAAGTTACAGGTAAACTGAGGTACAGTATGGAACCTTGATTTATGATAGCCCATATTGTATTTATGTGTAAAAATTTGGGGGGCATATACTCACCCTACAAAGGTGTATCATTGGTGTCTGTAATTTATTGGCTAGTGAGTTGGCTCACAAAATTGAGGATGCAGACTTGATTACTAGGCAGCACAATTTGTTGTGCAAATACCCTCGTACCTCCTGCCACTTTTCACCTAAAAGCAAAATAACCTGTCATTTAAATTACCCAATGCTATGCAATGAAAACTCATTCATGAATACCATAACAAATGAGGCTTCAGGTCAGTTAAGGTAGTTTTCCATTTGATAAATAAACATGTCAACCAATCAAATGATAATAGGCCGCTGCTTCTATAATTTTTTTCCATACAGTAGAACGTCGATTTAAAGTGATTCAATTTAAGATTATTGATTTAAAAAGACACCCAGAATTAAGAACAATGTTTTAATTTAAAGCGAATCTTTCCGATTTTCCGCGAGTCAGTCTGGCGCAGCATATTTAAAATTTTGCGCCTAATGTTTTTCTGGGCACGCTACACTGTCCTAAGGGCAAAGCTGTACTGTAGATGTACTCAAATAATGTACTAAATGATTACCGTACTAAAATTTTGTCTAGCGCAAACTGTAGCATGTTTATATTCAAATTAATCACTATCTTATAAGAATTCCAGCAATGTAAATTATATTCTCCCTGGTCACTTCTGTGACATTTTATAAGCAAAATGCATAAACTCACGCTAAAGGACATATATAAACTAATAAATACTGTACTTCACTAGACCTTCGCAGTGCCAACTGTCAAACATGTCACTGTCACCCCCCCCACCCAGCCAGGGTTTGGTGTTTTCGGCTTGAAGTTTTTATCTTATATAATGTCACAGACTAAAGTTAGGAGAATATAATCTGTATTGCACGAATCCTTGCAAGACAGTGAATAATTTGAATATAAACATCATATATTTTGCACAAGAAAATTTTTTGCTCTGCAATAAAATTCTTGAATTAAAACTAAACTTTTTATGTCTAATGCGAGCTTTTGCATGTTTATATTCAAATTAATCACTATCTTATACGAATTCCAGCAATGTTAATTATATTCTCCCATGTCAGTTCAGTGACATTTTATGAGAGAAAAACTTAAAGTCACTCTTAAGGACAGATAAATAAATAAATAAGCACTAGACCTTGGCATCAACTGTCACACATATCACCTCACCTCCCCCACCCCCTCTTCCCAGCCAGTAAACAGACCATTTCACATCCCTTAATTTTAGCTGTGTTGATTAACGAGTGTTGTTGCTACTGTTATAGCAAGTCGACATTCAAGAGGGAGATGACGGCACTGTTGATGATAATTTTCAAGATTTACCTGTGTGTGATCTGTTAGATGATTTACCACTAGACTTCACTGGCTTTGAGTTGGTGGTGATGCTGGGGAAGCAGCACAGTGTGAGAGTGTGGGGGCAGGGGCAAGTGTACTAATGCCACTCCCTGCCTCGAATGATAGCAAAGTCTCATTAAGCAATTCAACGAGGTGCCTAAATGTTAGTTATTATTAGTTATTAACTCTACACAGTATTGTGTGTGAATAAGTGGTTGTAATTTTTTTATGGGGGTTATAGGGGGGGGGGTGAAAGTGGCTGTGGGCTGGTACTAACTGTCCCATTAAGCATGTAAACTATACTCACCACATTAATGATTTTCACTTTAACGACCCTTTTTGTTGTACCAGTTAGTCGTTAAAGTGAAGCATGGACTGTATTGTATACAGTAATATCTCTGTTAGCTGGAATCCTTTTTAACCGGAACTCTCCGATGACCGAAATTGAAATTTTCTCGGAAAATCATTCACAAAGCCAGAATTTTCCAGAAAATTATGGCTTTGGGAACGATTTTTCGATGGGCTAAAGCAAATCCATCTCTGCATCACTGAAATTATGATTTAGGCGGTAGTGGTGATCATGGAGCTGGCGTTGGATGGGGAGATTGTGGTAAGTGGTGAGGAGATGATGTATCGGTAGGTTTGTTTGGTAACACTGGCTGCAGCACTGGCAGGCAGTTAAACTGCTGATGTCTACCCACAAAAATAAGTGTAAGTATAAATGAACAACGTTGTATCCCTTCCACATTACGTTACATAAATTTTAAATTATAGTGAGAAAGCAGAAAGGTGGGTGTGATTAGAAAGGCGGAGTGGAAGGAAGTGGCAACACGAGATGGGTGTAAAAAGCATGCTTGTCCTTGTTAGGAACATAGGAACATTCAACCATAGAACACACATATCTTCATCACTTGGGTGGATCGGGAACCATAACACTCTTCCTGTTCATAGGTGCCATGGTGGAGGGTAAGTAAAAGTTACAAAAATTGCATAAAAAAATAAGAATTTTGAAAACTGATTAGACTACAGTATAAGGAAAAATCAGATATCACGGATTAGGGATTAGACAGAACCGATTCAGGGGTATAGTAACAATGTGTCTGGTGTCTTTAATTGCTGACAGGAAATTGATATTGATCAATTATTAACGAATTTCGTGCTTCAGCCAGATGCTCCCTTTAAACCGGGGAATTAATCACATCATAAACTGGATTTAAGACTAAGAAGATTCTTACAGAGTCTGGACATCCCCCCAATAGATCCCCCACCCCTCCTATTCCCTCAGGATTGACAACAGCGACAGCTGTCTAGCACTGCGTGCCCCACAGTTGTAAACACTGTACGTATAAGGAAGAAGACAGTTTGTGACAGGACATGTATAGACTTGGGGAACCAGGGGTTAAAACCCCAGGGTCACCTAGTAGTTTGCTGACATACAATTACCGCAAAGGATGGCGTCTAAGACGGGTTGTGTGGCTATAACCATAACAAAGCTTACGACGTTGCTGAATGCGGTAAAGCATGAAGGCTATTGCTGGCAATGCCAACTGCCTAACCAAAGTAAACGAGGCTATTGCAGATCATAAGGGAATGAGAAACTTAGGGACGAGAATAGATGAAGCTGGATCCTTGTTGGTTGCCAAACTAGAGCAAGTTGGGAAAGAGATCCTCGTTAAGACTGAGGAAGTAGCTGATAGAAAGGAGGGAGTAGTGAAGAAGAGTTATGCTCAGGCTTTAGCAGGACCACAGAAGGGGATGCAGAGTAATGCAGGATCCAAACAGGTCCCTCAGCAGCTAGAGACTCTGCACAAGTCTGTTGAAGAGATGGCAACTAGCATACCTACTGATAAGGTAGAGGAGGAACAACGGGAACGTTTCAAGCCGATGAGTTGAAGTTTATCTCTGTAATTTCATATTTATCGATATAAGGCATTAATGTCAGTATGGTGATCTAGCCAAAACTCTAATGCCTCCAAAGCGTTTATTTCTAGCGAGTTCCTAGATAAATGTAAGTGATATCTCCGTTAGCTGGAACAATTGGTGCAGAGCACCTCCAGGAAGAAGAGATTTCCGGGTAACAAGACGACTCTCTCAAAGCCAGAAAAGAAATCCCCCATCCCCAGAATTTACCAGGAACTGGAAAAATTATCGAATTTCCAGAAAATGCCCTTGATTTTCATCTCTCAAACCTGGAATACCCCCCCATCCCATCCCTGGAGTTTTCTGGCTACCAGAAAAATTTTCTCAGAATTTTCCAGAAAATGTGCCCCTTACAAGATCATTCCCAAAGCTGGAAAATTCCATCTCTGGGAACAATTTTCTGAGAAAATTCCAATTTTGGTTATCGGAGATTTCTGGGTTTGAGGGATTCCAGCTACTGTTTATTAGTTACACTATTTATATTAGCTTCATGTGTTCCTTCTATTTTTACTCCATTTTCCATATTATGCATATTAAAAATATAGACAGACAAACAGTGAAAATATGAGAAATTCTTTCATTTTGTTTAATTTTTTCCTAAAAAAAAAAAAACCTCTTACTTTCAAACCCTTTACTGATGTTGTATGTCTGGTTTACCCGACTTGGACCAAAAATATTTTGTTATCCCATCAAAACATTCAATCTACAAGTCTACATGGGCCAAAAAATTTCAGATTTCAGGCTAAGGCTCATGATCATATGGTGTTGGTGACTTGTTTTCTTGCAAGTGTACGTTCAGGCAAACCCGGGATACGTTTTTGTGCTACTTAAAAAACAAAAAGCAAATACAGTAGGGTATGCTATAACGAACGGATTTTACTACGAATATTCCTATAATGAACGGTTTTACCTATAAAATTGAGAATGCTATAACGAACGCAACTCCTACAACGAACGCGGATGAATACAGGACTATTTCGTCTGGCGCATGAATATTGTTGTACCGCGGCTCACATAAAGAGCGTCAGGTGCCATATTGGTTCATTGTGTAGTCAATGCACCACTGAACTTGTTGAAATTTCGTCTTTTGATGTGGAAATTCGTGTTATTTTTATAACTATTTTGTTATACAAGTGTACAATTGTAACAATGAATCGTCAAAAGCGAGTGAGAAAGCTAACAACCCTTGAAACTGAGAAAGAAATTATAAATAAACAGACAAAGTGCCTGAAAGACAGTCACCAAAGAGGGCTAGGAAGGATGACTCCTCTCCATCCACCTCTTCTCCATAATTCTCTCCTCCCCCCTCCTCCTCTGCCTCCTGTCCTGCATACTAACAACACTAAGGTAAGATAAAGTACTGTATTTTTTACAATTTCCACAGAAATTTTTCAGTGTTAAGTGGTTGTATTTGGGGGCCTGGAATGGATTAATCCTATAACGAACTAATGCTATAACGAACGAGGTTCTAGAACCAATTACTGTAGATTCGTTATAGCATACCCTACTGTACAATCAAAACGTACAGTACATACTTTTTATTAGAATAAAAAATAAAAATGTTTATTTAAAGTATATACAAACTATAATTATATTTAGACACTGAGGTCCCAAACAGACTGTTACTGAGAAGTTAGAATAGGGCTTGAGAGGCCGGATACATTTTATTCACACTACCATTTCTATTAGCATCTAGAATAGTGGTTCTTAACCTTTTTTGAGTCACGGACCCCTTTGAGAATCTAGTGAAAGCTATGGACCCCCTCCCTAGAAAAATGCCATAGGCACATAAACACAACTTTGCATGCAATGAATATACTTTATTTTATTCAAAATTCATTGCCTCATACAGTGTATGACTTAGACAAAGTATGAATAAAGTAAACATTCTAG